TTTAATTTAGTTTGTACGTAATTTATATTTAGGTACTACTTTTTATTTCAATACAATAAAAGTATTTTTAATGCATACACGGCACTTCCGCATTCACAGTGTGCAATAATGCGTTACTTATCGTTGCGTTTTCATCACATTTTTCGTTAATTTCTTTTCGCGGCGAACCAATAGAATTGGTCACGTGTACACGCACATAATCGTAGCGTTTAAAATATCGTTTACACCTCTGATCGTGTTCAACAAACGAAAAAATATTTTTACCGCCTAGAGTAGAATTATGTATACTATGAAATTGATACTGAAACTTACAATAAGAAGAATACCGCAATTGATATAATGTGCCACGATTAAGGTTAATTCCAATATTATTATTCATATAATAATGATAGATATAATATCTGTCACTATTTAAGCAATAAATACTTTGATTTTAATATTCTTATGAATCCTAATTTGCCGTTTTTAATTATAACTTTATATCAATTAAATTTAAACTATATTTGGAAACCATTATTATAGGTTCTGTTTTTTCGTCTAAATATGTACGAAAACGCTGTCCAATGTTTGTTTGACACAAAAATCGTTACAGGATATTAGGATATTATTATATTGCACTTGAATGCATACAGGTCCGTATTTAAAAATTTGGCACCCCCGGGCATATAATTTATGCTCCCTCCAAAAAAAAAAAAAAATAATAATAATAATATAACATTTATTATTTCGTTTATAATCGAGATTCTTTAATATTAAATTATAACTTATAAATGAAAATCGTTTAATACTTTTTTTAATTAACAAATTAAACAAATCATAACATAATAGAACATACTGTATTATTTTTTTTTTCATCAGCTACATCATTTTTAAAATTAATTTTGCTAAAATATTTTGCCACCCCTGAAACTTGACGCCCCCGGGCGTTACCCATGTTCCTCCCCCTAAACACGAGCCTGAATGCACATGTACGTATAACGTAGCGCTACGTCTTTATTATGTAGAACTTTAACAAATAACGCATATTGTATACCCTTGAGTGAGTAGCCAATACATTGTAGCGTATATAATCGTAATTTTTTTACTTCACATACTTGATTTATCGTCAAATACTTAAACCGCTTTATACGTACTGCGTATAGTGCGAGCAGGCCAAACTCGCTTTATAATATTTTGCGTTGTAGCCTTAATTATAAGATATATGTTTATATATTGTACGTAGGTACCTATACGTGGTCGTGGAAACGGTTTATTGTATTAAACCAGAATAATAGGGAATGCGATTTTATTTATTATGAATCACTGTTGTAAAATAATAATAATAATAACAGTGCACCGTTTTGTTCATAACATAATGATATTACGCACAAAACGCAATACCTGTACAATAGTTGTACGCACGTAAAATATATCGACGCAAGTGCGTGTTACGAAATAGTATATAATATCATGAATATCGTACACGTTTACAATGCACAGTTGGATAATAGATCACCGAGACAAATCAATGAGAAAGTAAACCCATGCGGCGGCAGCGGTCCTGAACGCGCGCACAGGTGCACTGCCTGTTCGCTTACACTGTAATAATAATAATAATAATAATAATAATAATAATAATAATAATAATAATA